TGTTACGTAACTTTCGAAGTAGGACAGGCAATTATAAATCGATAAAATTAGATAGTTTTTTGTCGTTTTTTTTTTTCACAGAACAAGTATAAGGAACCTTAAATTAAATTTGATTTGTATTTAATGTTTACCTAAATTTTTTTGGATATTATTTAAACAGATAAATTATTTATGTTTATATAATTAAAATAATTATTATATGATTATATTTCAAAAAATTTAGGCCAAAATTTTTACACAATGCTTAGGTTTAGGGCAAAAGTTTGTAGTAAAGTTCAGAGCAAAAGTTTTGATCAAAAGTTTAGGGCAAAATTTTATAGTAAAGTTTAGGGCACAAGTTTGTAGTAAAGTTTAGTGCAAAATTTTGTAGTAAAGTTTAGGGTAAAAGTTTGTATCAAAATTTAGGTCAATAGTTTAGAGCAAGGTTTTGATGCAAAAAGTTCAGAGTAAAAGTTTAGGTCATAGTTTGTAGCAAAATTTTGGGCAATAGTTTAGAGCAAGGTTTTGATACAAAAACTAATTTAGAGTAAAAGTTTAGGGCACAGTTTGTAGTAAAGTTTAGGGCAAAGGTTTAGAGCAAAGTTTTAATCAAAAGTTTAGGGTAAAAGTTTGGAGAAGAAGTTTAGGGCAAAGGTTTAGAGCAACAAGTTTAGAGCAATAGTTTTAATCAAAAGTTTGAATCAAAAGTTTAGGGCAAAATTTTGTAGTAAAGTTTAGGGCAAATTTTGGAGAAGAAGTTTAGGGCAAAATTTTGTATTAAAGTTTAGGGTAAAAGTTTTGATCAAAAGTTTGGGGCTAGAAATTTGTAGTAAAGTTTAGGGCAAAGGTTTGGAAAAGAAGTTTAGGGCAAAAGTTTTGATCAAAGTTTAGGGCAAAAGTTTGTAGTAAAGTTTAGGGTAAAAGGTTAGAGCAAAAGTTTTGATCAAAATTATGTAGTAAAGTTTAGGGCAAAAGTTTAAGGCAAAGTTTTAGAGCAAAAGTTTTGATCAAAAGTTTAGGGCAAAATTTGTAGTAAAGTTTAGGGTAATAGTCTTAATCAAAAGTCTCTGGCAAAATTTTGTAGTAAAGTTGAAAAAATCACGACAAATTTCTAAAAAAACTAATTTAAATTGTATAATTGAGTTATTCAATATAAAGGGTGTCTCAGAACTCAACGTCAAAATAAAGCTATCATAAAAAAATAAATTAGGAAATAATTGAAATTAATAGCTTTTAAGTGCAACTCAGAACTTTGGTGAAGTTATTAAAAGTTATTGAATTATATAAGTGAGTTATTTATTAAACAGGGTGTCCCAGAACTCAACGTCGAGTTAAAGCTATCATGAAAAGAATTTAGGAAATAATTAAAATTAACAGTTCGGATAAAGTTCAGGGATAAAATTTGGAGAAAAAGTTTTGATGGAAAGTTTGCAGCAAATTTTGTAGCAAAGCAAAGTTCGGGGCAATTTATAGAATAGTTTAGGGCAAAGTTTGTGGCAAAATTTAAATTTTTAATTTGCAAAGTTCAATCTATTAAATTTATATGATTTAGATACACTTAGGAGTATATTTTAACCAAGGTATCAATTTAAATCGAAAATTATCAGTCCCAGTCGATGTTGTCCTTTAGATATTTGTGGTAATATTAATCAAAAAAGTTAACAAAGCTTTGTTAATTAAATCCCAGTCTTTTTATTGCTTTTTTACTACACAATGCACTAGATATGATACTTTTATGTGTATTAATTTTTGTGTACCCATTTTAAATACTTTTTTTTTGCTTTTAGCATATTTGTGTCATAACTTAGTTGTGGGAATTTGTTTGTGATAAATATATTGTTTTGGATGTTAGAAAATTCTACAGTGGTAAAATTTAAATTTTGGAATAATTATTTAACTTTTATATTATGGCAAAATAATAAAGATATGTCTGAGTCATTTTAATATATAAATATTAAATATACTTTTAAAAATAAATAAATAACGAGGAAGAAATATTATGAAAGAAGTTTGAATAATTTGAATAAATTTTTGCACGTAGAGTTTTCTACTTCAAGAATATTAATTCACTGTATATTTCTCATCTATATGAATTTATATATATATATATATATATATATATATATATTAATTTAATGTATATATACAAAATTTATTTCCTATGTACTAAGACATTTTTTCGTTTTTTTTCGCTTTTTGCAGCTCACGCAACCGATTACTACGGTAAGTCATTATTTCACTTGATAATTATTAATTTTATTAATAATTTTCTAAAATAAATAAAAAATCTTTAATGGAAATAACCTACTTTTCAAAATTTAATATACTAATACTTAGTTTAAAATAAAACGTGATTTTTAGCCTATTAATTGGACAATTCAGGCGTTTTCTAACAAATATTATGATAAATCTGATTTATTTTAATATTGCATATATTATTTATAAAGTTGTTTGTTTATTCAACTTTTGGGGTCATTTTTGGGATAAATTTTAAATTGTGGGCTAAAATTTAATTTTAATGAAATAGTTTTGGAAACGCTTGATCATCAATTTAATTAAAACTAATTCATTCTTAATATTTGTTTAACAATTTGAATTAACAACGCCCGCACTAATTATCATTTTATTAATTTTACCTCTAATTTCTAACATTTTTTATTTAATAATCAAATTAAATTATTTATTTATACTTCTCTCCGCCCAATTATGAATATTATTAGTTTCAAGTTTAATATTATAAATCAAACTTTTGGTTGCCATTATCATTTTTTTTCGATTTAATTTCATATTTGTCATAACATTCATATAGTTTTAGTTAACATATTATTTATATATAAGTTTATATATAAATTTTGGTAATCGGGACTCTTTTTACTGTAAATACACAAAACTGTGCTTTTTGGGCGATTTTTTTTTAATGGATTTTATAAAAATGATGAGTTTTGTATATAACATTATAATTCAGTGCTTTTTTATATAAAGAAAATAATAATCCATATATTTACATAGTTATAAAAATCTATAATATATAAATGAATTAATTTAATATATATAAATACATTTTTTAAAAAATGTTTTTGCTAAAAAGAAAGTTGTTAACGTTTTTTAGTTAGAAGAAAAATTGCAAAAATCGTTTTGTATTAAAGAAAATAATAGTAACGTTTTTAATTTAATTTACAACTTTGATAATATTTTAATATTTTATATTAAATTTTGATAATTTAATTTTATTATAATATTTAATTTAATCTGTTTTATTTTTTTGCACTGGATTGTATTTTCCGAAAACTTTTATTACAAATTGGGCATTTTCTTGTTTCTAAGCAGCTTTTATTTAATTTACATATTATATATTTATTTTTCCTTAATTTTGGATTTTTGTCTCTGCTTTTGGGTTTATTTTTTTCGGACTTTTTGGGTTTTTGTGACTAAAAATACTAACGATTTTGATTTATATTGTTTTGAGGTCGTGTCCATTTGTTTATTTAAAAATTAAAGAGGAGATAGAAGGTACAGATTTTTGTTTAAATGAAAATTGAAAAATTTTTTTGAGACTTTATCTAATTGATAAAAAGTTTTGTGCATAATTTTTTATCTTAAGATAATTATAAACATAATAAGATTTTTCTTATTTTTTTGAACTGGCTTGAAAAGGCGAATCAACAAATTTCCACAAATTTCAGATTTTTTTCAAATGAAAATTTAACTAAGTGTTTTCCAATTTAATTTTTTTAAGGAAACGTAAGTCCTTGTATAAATTATTTTTTACCTTAAAATAATATGCAAGTTTTTTCTACTTTTTTCAAATGTTTTTTACCGTTGGTCCTTTTTGGGTCTCACCTTGCAAAACCCTGATTTAATCCCAAAAATATTTATACGAATTTAAAAACCAAGGACTTTTTTCTTGTTTTTCATGTATAAAAATTAATACAATTCTCTTATGAGACCCAATCTCATTGATAGAAAAAGTTTCGTACATAATTTTTTATCTTAGACTTTGTATGATAAGATTTTTCTAGCATTTTTTTTTTAATTTAAATTTTCTTAATTGCCCTACGTTGGGAAATACTTATATAATCTTGAAAAATTTATGTCTACTATTCAAATAAATATTTAATTTATTTATTTAATTGAAAAAAGGAGACTCACAAATTTCATAGATTTCATTGATAATAAAAAGTTCCCGGCATATTTTTTTATTTTAAAATATTTATGTAATTAGATTTTTCTAGCATTTTTTTTATTTTAAATTTTCTGTAAGACGTAGGCCTAACGTTGGGAAATACTGATTTGACCTTAAAAATGTCAAAAAAAATTATATTTAACTATGAAATATTTAAATATTTATTTGAAAAAATAAAGAGGTGAATCACAAATTTCCAGAGATTTTAGATTTTTTTGCAAATAAAAATTTAACCAAGTTTTTCCCAATTTAAATTTTTTAAGTCTTTATACATATATTATTTTTTACCTTAAAATAATATACAAACTATTTCTAAATTTCTTTTAAAAATGGACTTGTTTTTTTTACTATTGACTTAAAACCAAAAATATCGAGACGAATTAAAAAACCAAGGACATTTATTTTGTTTTTTTTTATAAATATTAATACAAATCTCGTATAGATTTATTTTTCAATAATATTATTAATACTGAGGCATAGTGGTCATTTCGTTTGTTTATGGCATTTTCATATAGTTGTATAAAACAAGCCTCCGCAAATCGTCGTTGAAATAAAATTATTTAGAAATATGATTTAAAATTGCCAATTATGTAATTACAAGTGTTGAATTATTATTATAATTTTTAATTATCTTCAATTATTATTATATTTTTTAATTATTAATGTTTTTAATTATCTCCTCTTTAATTTTTGTTATTCGGGTTTGTTTAAGTTCTTCGACGTGGATATTAATTTTATATTCAGGGACTCATCATTTGTGTGTCTTTATTCATTTATTTGTTTATTTATTTGTTAATTTATTTATTTTTGTTGCGGGTTTTTTAATAACAAAAATAATTTTAATATTAAGAGAGGACAAAAGCACACTATGAGGAACGTCTTCCGTTGACTCAATTAATTTGTTCCGGTTTAACAGTGACGAACTAGGAAGGAAAAAATAAATTATATATATATATATATATATATAATATATATATATTAGGGTTGTCCTTAATATGGACATTTTAAAATTTCTTTGCTCCCGAGGACTCAAATGCTTCTAAAATGACAAAAAAAAATCTCTGAAAGTTTTAGCTCTTAATATTAACATTCATAAATTCAAAATAAAATACAATAATTACTCAATATTTATTTTGTACGTTTTGGCAACAAATATGTGTCATCAAACTTCACAACATTTTTATTATATACAATTTTAATAACATATGATGTGATAGACATCATAATTTTATTAAAAATGTTTTAATCCCAAATTTTTTTTTTTACTTTTTTCTACAAACAAGAATGTTTTTTTATTTCGTTGTTATTTTTCTCGTCATGACATGCAATTCTTTTATAAAAAAAATAAACAAGAAATTTTTGAATCTCTTTTTTCCCATTTGTTTTGTAAATTTTGCATCATTTTTCTGAAATGATGACATAAATTTAGTATCAAAAAATGTCGTTTATTATTTATTGTATTTTATTTTGGACTTATTGGCTGGTAACATTTTCAAAAAGTAAAAATTATATATAAAAATAAAACATTTTGAGCCATTTTGGGATAATTTGGGAAGGAATACATAACTCGAAAATTTTTTATACATGATTATTTCTAGTATATTGTATGATTTTTTATGTTCGCGATTGTTTTATTTTTTTGAACATTTTAAAAAGTTTAGTATAAGTTTTACATTTTATTCGATGTTTAATTATCCGATTTTCTAGATAGTTCTGTATCATTTTTTTTATTCGAGAAAATTTTAAAGAAATCCATAAAATTTTTAGAAAATCAGAGAAAATTTAAAAGAAATCAGCAGAACATTCTCTGTTTTTCACAGTTTACATTACCAATAAACAAGCATAAGATAGCGTTACCATATATATGTATAATAGGGTGGTCCTTATTATGGACATTTTCGAATTTCCTTGCTCCCAAGCGCATGGAAAAAATTTTGAAAATTAAAAAAAAAAATTTAGGTATAACTTAGCGACAAATGAATTAAAAGTGATAATTCTTATCATTGAAAATTCGACGTTCTGCAAAATTTTTTCATGCTATTTCCATACAAAACTTTGATTGAATTGCGCACAATCTAAAAGACAATATTAAGAGCTAAAACTTTGAGAGAATTGTTTTTTATCAATTTGGAACCATTTGAGCCCTTGGGAGCAATGAAATTCGAAAATGTCCATGTTCAGGACCACCCTAATGTATAACTAAACCTTCAAAAAATTTAAAATGTGTATATTATTAAGACTTTCTACTTCGTCACTGTTAACTCTTTTTCATATCGTAGGGACCAAAAAAAAAAAAATCTTCCACTTAACACTTTTGTGTAAATACACATACGGAATGCAAAAATGTTAACACATTTGTAACTGTTTCTCTCAATCAATCAACTAATTAATTATTTATTCATAGATAGCACTTTTATGATAGATACTTATCGATTGTTTTCCATTTTCTTTCTAATTTCAAGATGAATACAATCTAAACCCGGGTTTAGAATGGGAAGACGAGTTCACAGGTAGGTGTGCTAATAATGCTTTCTATTTTTTCTCTATGTAAAAAATTTAAAAAATTTCTCTAATCGTTCTTTTCTCCTGTCGTATCGTAATTAGAACACTTTTTTACACATCACTATTTAGTAGTCACTAATATTTACTTTAGCAGTAGTATTGGTTCACATTGATTTTTAGGTGCTTTTTTCATTAATTTAATCATTAGACTTGGTTTGGTAATTAAATTAAAATTATTTTGGTAAATTGTGTTGGAAACGCATTGGAATTATATATGCTATTATATAATCTCTACATAATTTGCATTTTTTTCGAATTTATACCATTTTTATAATATTCTTGGAGAAACAAAATTCTTTTATCGAAATGAGACTAGCCGTTTAAGGGGAATTCAATTTCTTAGACATGCAGTGATTTATATATATATATATATATATATATATATGATTAATTTCTTGGAGGGCGTAACATCATGTAAAAAATATAAATAAAGATTTTTAAAACATCATTATTTCTCCATACGTTTCCGCGTAAAATTCTACGTCATCGTCAGTGGTTCTACAATTTTGAAAAAACAAAACATAAGGAGTAACGTTAAAAACTAAATATACACAGAGCAAAAATAAAAAAGAAAGAAATCAAGGGCAAACAATGATCACAGAACATTTAAAACTAAATTACCATACTTTCAATTTTTATGATGCAAAGGTTTTTCATCATGAGTCGAAAATCTCACAAAGACGCTTTGCGGAATCGGCTTATATTTTTTTTAACAAAAACAGTATCAACAAACGAACTGTCTGTGCGATGTTACGCCCTCCAAGAAATTAATCGTACATTTCAACATCAAATTTAAACACTTTCCACACACATATATATATATATATATATATATATATAACACAAAAGAAGTCTTAAACGTTCATTAATTATAATTATTTAATAAATGACATTATAAGTAAATATATTAATTAATATACTATTCATTTATTAAAATGCGTTTTTCAATACATTTCGTATTTAATTTGCATGTCTAACATAATACTAATTTCTGTGTTTTTTTTTTGATAAATTTAATCCTTAATTTTGTTACCACTGAGACACCAAAAATCATCATTGTACTTTAATTATAATTTGTTAAAAAAAAAGGGCAATTGGTGAAAAATTAAGGATGTAAAATTATAAAAAATTAAATTTTATATTATGAGTCAAAGTTATTTTGACCAATTGAATTTTTTTACAACTTGTGCTCCTAAAATTTAGCAACATGCTAAAAAATAAAAGTGCAAAACTTAGTACAAAAAAGTGCCAGTTGTAAGAAATTAAGTATTATTTCGATCAAGTATTGTTTCATGTTTGTTCAAACCATTTTTTGACCAGTTTTATCCTTAGTTTTGTTACCACTAATTGTAAGACACCAAAAAGTCGACTTTTACACTGAAGTTACTATTTTGCTTATTAAGTGGTAGAAAATTAAGGATGATTTTTATGCATGCGTTTAATTTTATCATCATTTTTAAAAATAAGAACTAACATTTTGCAAAATTTGCTAATTTTTATTCTTACAATATTATACAATAACTGCCTTCAAATCATTTATCATATTTTATCATATTTTTCATCACATTCTAAAAAAAATCTACAAACTACATTTATATTTAAAAAAAAATCAATTTCCTAAATCGATTGGGTGGAGAGATTTTTATGCGCAATATTGCGCATACGTTTGCAACGTTTTTTTTGAAATTGTGAATAACTGCATGATATTTTTAGATCAAGATTTTTATATTGTTACATAATCGTTCATTTTTTTAAATATTTATCTACTTAGCTGTGTGCTATGTGTTGTAGTGCGATACTGCTATATGAATAATAATAATAATAATAATAATATGAATAATAATAATTTGAGCCCTACTGCTTCTTGATAATTCTGCACACAATCAAGCTTTGATTAAATAATAGCATGAATCCTGATTTTGTCATTTGTCTTTTTGACATTATCAATAATAATCCTGAGTTTCTGGACCAGAAAACTTGCAAAAGGTTATAGTTACGAAAATTTGTTGTCTTCCAATTTGGTTTACTTATCCCTAGAAATAGGAAGCAGTAGATACCATAACTTGTTTATAGAAATTTTCCAAATTTGTTTCTGAAATTGTTTATACTGCTCTTGAAATTTCACTGTCAATCTTTTGATAATTCTGCACAAGGTTAAATAAAGTCTCCTATTTTGTTGCAAATAAGTAACTGCATGATCAAATTTGCTCCTCTATGTAAATCCTGGTTTTCTCTTCTGGTTGTATTTTGGATAGCAATCCTGGTGTACTTTGTCTCTTTTGCAATAACAACTATTTGTTACTGGAGGCAAAAAAACACTTGTTACTAGATACCATTTCACTCTCAACCTCTTGAAAATTCTGCACAAGATTAAATAAAGTCTTCTATCGTTGCAAATAAGTAACTGCATGATCAAATTTGCTCCTCTATGTAAATCCTGGTTTTCTCTTCTGGTTGTATTTTGGATAGCAATCCTGGTGTACTTTGTCTCTTTGGCCATAACAATTTGCTACTCTTGGTTTTTCTAAATTTACCCTCTAGACATTTGCCAGAACGTGCAGAAAACGAGATCCTTACCAACCCTTTTTTTTAGCTTTTCTTAGCAAAGGAAATTGATTCTTCATCAGTTTGTTCAAGTCAGTACAGATTTTGGCTTGTGTTCTATTTTATGACTTCCTTTTTGACAAAACATTATTTTCCTATGACACCATATATTGTTTTTAGATATGGTTTTGTATAATTCTGAAATTTGATATCACCTGGCTGCATTTGCAATTTTGCAGCCACGTCAATATCTTTTCCTAGTTCCAATATTTATTCCGTTCAATACCAGAATACTTCCAAAAATATTTAACCACTTTATGATTCAGATTTCAGATCTTTTGTCTGATTGTCTTTTTTGTTTCATATAGCAGTATCGTATTTAGCATCATACCTAGTTTTTTTTTACCAGTTTGCATCTTTATGTATAATTAGATTACGACTTTGGCAAATTGCACATTGCATTTTTGCCAAATTTTGCATTTTGTATATATACCCATTTGCCATATTTGCTCGCTCCATCATTGCATCAGATTCCTGAAGCAAATGCAATTTAGGGATAGATTTATAAATATCCGATTAGTTCTGCCAAAGTTTCCATTTTGGCACAAGCGAACTTAACTTGCATTTGCTTAATTTATCCTGAAAAAAGTGATCAAGGGAACTACATTTTGGAGAAGTTACCAAGCATGAGTAAACTGGGAAAAAGATTAAGGGGGTATTCTAGTGTAGAAATTCAAAAAATCGATTTTTTATTTCATATTTTCAAAGTTCAACTATCTAAGAATATGGGTACGAGAAGGTTTTTGAAAATTTGAATTATTTTCGGAGATATAGGCATATTACTGACTCGGTCTCCATACTGGTTTGGCTTCACGCAAAACTTTAAATGCTTTTTTCTCAGAACAGACTTTTAATACTGTTGACACGATTTCTCGAGTTTTAATCGGTCGATTCACTTGAAATGTTTAGAAAGTCTTACTTATAGACCTATCTATAGCCCGAACTAGGCTTATCTCCAAATTCCAATATTTACTATTTTTAAAAAATTCGAGAAACTCAAAAAAACAGTAAAAAAACACTTTTTTTTTTCAAACAGTCGCCAATTTGTAAAAAAATAATTTTTTGTACTCATCGCTAGTTCGGACGATTGCGACATCATTATAGATTAATAATCTTTTTATTTTTTGCATTTTCGATGGCTAGGAGGACTGAAATCATGTCAAGACTGTTGCCAATTTTTTGAGACCACTCACTTCATCAGCTGCCAGTTTTTACAATTTTCAACTTTTTTATTTTTTAACTTCCCGCAGGGCCGAAAATCGAAATTGAAAATTTTTACATTTCTCTGAACGTTTTGGCATACCTCAGAAAAAATGGATGTGTGTGTGTGTATGTATGTATGGATACAAATTTCCAGTCACGTTTTCGGGCGCACGGATCAACCGATTTGAATGGTTCAAAAAACATTCGATTCCTATTGATAGGGAAGAGAGCTGATTAGTGTTTGGCGAAGGCAGGTCAAGCCGTTTCGGAGATACGGAGCAAAGAGTGCAGAAAATAGAAATCGACTTTTTGATTTTGACATTCCGATTTGAATGATCTAAAAACCATTCAATTAGTAATGATTGGGAGAAGTGTCTATTAGTTTTTGGCAGAGGCAGGCCCAGCCATTTCGAAGATACGGAGCTAAATATGTAAAAAATGGCAGTTTTTGAGAGAACTAAGCGTCCGATTTAAATGATTCAAAGTACTATCTGCTTGTCTTAACAAAATAATTGATTTTGGATTTTTTTTTTAGTTTTTTTTGTATATCGGAAATAATTCAGATTTTATTTTTATTCTGACTAAAGTTCTAATATAACTTAAACAAATAATTTTAAATTTGCAATTCAGTTTATTTACAATGTTACAATATTAATAATAATCTATTTGAAAACATTTAGTATTCCTCGAACATTTCGTTACGGTACGGGAAGTTCCTGCAATTTGCCTTAAGGCACGATGCCATACACCCCACTAGTTAATTTTTGTTTTGTATTTTAATTATATTAAAAAACAAGTGGTAAAAAATGGATAGTAAAAACATTCATTGGTTTCTATTAAGACACTTTAAAAATGACCTAAAATTTATCGCTCTACACTAGAATACCCCCTTAACTTTGATAATTCTCGGATAAAACCAAAACCCGGATAGTCATTCAATATCTCATTGGTACATCTCCAAGTTCTGATCTTGCCTTTGATGGATCTATTACCATCTATTATCATCTATTACTGTTTCCCTTGATCACTTACAAATCCCCTAATCATCATCATCATCGTCATATGTGCCCATAATTATGAAAGTGGTCTAAGTCATTTCTTGTTTCGAGATATTTAATGATGTGCGATTTTTACATTATGCGACATTTTAATTTTTAATTTTATTAGTTTTAATTAATGGAAATTTATTATGAATATGAAATTTTGTGTGAATTTCATACGATAATATTGTTTTTAATGGTCGAATTGACTTAGACCATTTTCAAAATTAACTGAATGTCCTATAAATGACTTAAAGCAATAAAAAAAACTTTGATTTTTATTTGAAACAATAATTTTATTGAAATAATTCGTGAGCTTTAATTAATTATTTTTAAACGGTAATCCATTTTTATCATTATTTCGAGTATTTAAGATTCTTAAAATGTTCCTGAAAAACTGGAGGTATGTACGGTAGTAAACTCATAATATCTTTATGTTTTTCTTCCGATACTGGTCTAATGCTGGTGTATAATGGAAGTAATTTAATATTTCCGTATATTTTTGGTCTTTCTCTTTTAGGTGAAAGATCCAAAACGTTAAATATAGAATCATCTAAAGAAGTTTTATAAAACATAAAAAACTTTATAAGGTTCATTTTTCAAGAATCTCATCCATTGAACTTGTAGCCAAAAGACAGATTCGCCCGTGGTATTTTTTACTATTCTTGTTATTGTATCTTCTACAATGATTTCGTTGAAATAAAATCCGGCTGCGACATTCGCTTTATCGAAAATGTATTGCTTTTTCTGCACTTTTCTATCAATTCATAATAATGCTCAGAGTTGTATAAGTAATTTGCTTTTTTTATTTTCATTTCTATCAACCCAAAATCACGATCATTCGGTGGAAAGGAATGACCTGATACCAAAAATTTTTGACTTAGACCACTTTCATAATTAGGGGCACATATATGTTGTCGGCCCGCCTTATTCACCGTTCAGTACTTACTTTCGACGATCGCGAACGTTTTCAAGTTTTCATTTTGGCACAATTGAATTTAACTTGCATTTGCTTCATTCATCCTGACATTCGTCCTGAAAAAAGTGATCAAGGGAACTAAATTTTGGAGAAGTTACCAAGCATGAGTAAAATGAGAAAAATTGATAATTCTTGGAGCAAGTTCTGATCTCGCCTTACCATCTATTACTGTTTCCCTTGATCACTTACCCCTTACAAATCCCTCACCATCATCATCATCATCGTATACGTTGTCGGCCCGCCTTATTCACCGTTCAGTACTTACTTTCGACGATCCCGAACGCTCTCTCGGCCAAGGCGAGGACGAAGACGGCAACTCTTTACCGCACATCATGCATCACAGCAAATTGCCGCCGGGAATTCTGCCGCACGGGCTGCCCCTCGTGCAAGAAGTGGCGCCGGCGCTCACGCCCGGGGAACAGAGGGAAAGGAAGGAGCAGGAGCAGCAGATGCAGAAAGAAAGTAAGTGGTAATAATAGTAATAGTAGTATATTTATATTTATTTATATTTATATTTATACTAGCTGACCCGGCAAACTTTGTTTTGCTAAGTAAGGTATTTTCTAAGTAAGGTAGATAATCAAAACAAATAACACTTTAAGTGTATAAGACTGTGTTGTTTTTGAATGCTATATACAATGAGGTATTATAAAAACAATAAACCCCATTAGTTCGTCTTTATTTTTTTTGGAAATTTTATACACTTTCTATAGAAAACATGGCATAATCCAATCCTTTTTTTTGGTTTTTCGACTTATTGATTACGTTTCAAGTTTTTCAGATTATTTATGGATTCTGTATTTTGTATATAATTGAAAATAATACTACTGAGCTTATGAAAAAAATTCAAATTTCTGCGAGGAGATAGAAAATGAATTAAATATTTCATTTTTGACCTGCTTTTTGAAAAGTTTTTAAGTAACATTCGATGAATTAAAGTAAATTTAATAAAAAGTATATAAGTAGAGCAGAGCGAGGCACAAAGGCCAAATGACTTTGAGCTAAAATAAACTATATTATGAAAACCAAACCAATTATATCACAACAAATAACACATTTCAAACGAACAATTATCTGGCTTCGTTCAGTAAAACTATCAGCTACTTCATCATTGTAAAAATGTACTTTTTTGCTGTCTTTCAAAAATTTATCAAGAATTTGTTATTTACTCTATAGGCGGAGTAACTTGGAACGGCCAGGTGGCAAACAGGCATAATGTCTTATTTTAATTTTAAAGGTATTTTACAAAATAATTACATTTTTAACGAATGCTAAAAAACTACCAACGGAAGAAAATACTTTTATTATGGATTTTCAAAGATTACCGTTTATCTTCCGATAGTAAAGTCATAAGAATCAAGGTTACAGCTGGTTATACATCTTTTTCCCTCTACTTTCAAATATTGTTGTTAAACTATGCTAAACTTTACTGGTTTTTGACACGTCGATGGAAGAATTTTTCAACCCTGGACCTTCATATATTACTACCTAAAATAATATATCCTAGAAAATGTTTTATAAATACCAATGAGTATATAATTATACAAATGAGATCTTTCAGAGCACCGTGTTTGAAAAAAATATGATTTGCAAAAAAAAAGAGTGCAACAACGTCAAAAAGTGCATTTTCATATTGACATTTCAAAAGAGTTGATATTTTGAGTTTCTAGTAACACTTGCGGCCCGTTTACTAAAGTTTTTATATATAAATAAAACTACAAACAAAGCTACTTACCACAATTTGATCATAATTAAATAATATTCATGTAAAACATCCTATTAAATGTAATTGAACATCATCTGTCAAAAACGTTTGACATTTCACGTATTAACCACCGTCCATTGTTTTATTCAAATTACGCTTCTACAAAAATTTTCAAATTAAAAATAAAAAGTTTCAACGCGGATTTGAAATAATTTCTCACCTTTTGGACTTTCTCTGGATTGACACGAATTTTTCAAGACTAAGACTGGCCAAATCGATTTAGCAGTTTTCGAGTTTTACTAAAACATTTGAAAGAGAGCTCCATTTTTATATATAAGATATTTATATTTATATTACGGATATAGGAATAAATTTAATAATTACAGAAAATAAATTACTTTTATTGAATTAATTAGAGTAAAATACAACTAGAAAACAATATTAAGCCTAACATTGGTACTATCAATACTATCAATACAATAACTTGAAGAAAAAAAAATGTAATAAAATTCAAATAGTTTAATTAAGGCTTGTAGATCTTGAGATTCTTCTTATGGTAAAAAAAATACTTTAAATATCCGTTATGCAATTTTGATTTGAGTCCCATATCTGGAAAATAAAAATTAAGAGCAGTATCAAAAAAGAATGTGAAAATAATTGTAATGATAAAATACTTAGAAAAATGTTAAAATAATTTGGAATATAAATTAGAAAAAGTATGGAAAAGGGAAAAAATAATTGTAACTGTTGGAAGAAAAAGTATCAATTATTATCAGTAGGCATTTCATTATCAAAATTATGTTTGATATCGAAATTGGCAAACTCAGAGGTATCGTAGAAACTTTGGGCTTTTAATAGTTTAACAATGGCATTATGAAATTGACGATCATTCAATTTCCTAACATGTAGTGGGAGTAGATTAAAAAGCTGTACTCCCCTTCCGTCTTAAGTTTAAAAATTTTTCCTTTTTTAGTCAAATTTCTTGTTTAATAATAGGAATTCAACATGGAGAATAGGTTGAAGCGTTCAGGATTATTCTTTATGTCAAGGATTATTCTTTATAGTAATGGAGTTATGGAATTGTTTGTAATGGTTGTTGTTTGTTTTAGTTCGGGAGTTGAGTGAGGATCAGAAGCAGATGATTATATTGTCCGAGGGCTTCCAAAGGTTTATGAATAGAGCTGGAAGGCTCGTGGAGAGGGCTTTGAGTGAATCCATGGATATTTACACGGATTACACAGGCGGAGCTGATAACAACATGTAAGCAACAAACTTTATATATCCTCAACATTTTTTTTACATTGTTTTTTTTTTAGGGATGACAAAACGAACACTGCTCGTCTATCCCTTAATCGTTGGTTCTTTGACGAGCGCTGGACAAAAGGCCGGTGCGTGACTTCCCTAGATTGGTCATCACATTACCCAGAATTACTGCTGGCCAGTTACCATGGTAATGAGGATGCCCCTAATGATCCTGAAGGTGTTTGTGTTGTCTGGAACACTAAATTCAAAAAGACAACTCCTGAGGACGTGTATTTTTGTCAGAGTGCTGTTATGAGTGCCACTTTTGCCAAGTAAGTAGACTAATAGATATCTATTTGGTTTGCATGATTTTATGGTTGTCCTGTACCCATGTCGACAATTTTTTAATATAATATACTAATATTTACCGTTTACCTAAAAATAATAATTATTGTTTTTGAAATTACTCTTCACGCCAAAATGTATATACATTTATATTATGAGGAATGTTAAATGTAGAACTGCTTTAAATAAAATGATGAGTCTCAATTACCACACTATATTGGAAATTAAAGTCTTTTAAACGGTATTAAAAAACCATAGCCATAATATAACACTGGTACTTCATTTTGGATTAAATTAATTTAATTTTTTATCATTTAAGATATCCAAAATTGCATTTTAAACTTCTCCTAATCGATATTGTGAGGGCCGAATTGTATGTATTCATCTTTACTTTCCCATTTGTTGTTATAAAGTGAAATTTTTACGAATTTTAAAAATATTGTCGAAAGATTAGTAAAAGATGCAAAGAACTTATATATTGAAGAAAAAAAACTATATTGAAAATTTAATATCCGAATCTAGTGTTGGCGCCCCCTAAGACGTGCGCTCGTATTTTTCTCATGCATCGCATTAAAGTTAGGACCGGCCCTGATTAATACTTAATTTCATATTTCAAGTGAATTAATTTGTCATATCCTGTTCATATGTGTATCATTCAATCTGCCATACATATACTATATTTTATATTATTTTAATTTCTGGTACATCTCAGCTGCTTTTTGGCAATAATAATGTAGACATTTCATTTTTCTTATTCATAAGCATGAATTTATTATACATATACTAATATAAGGACTCCTTCGGAAATTAGAGTAGAGTCTCTTTTTGCTTCGGAAATAAGTTTCCTAGTCAGTAATCGCTTTTGTTTTGAATATTATAAAAAAATCTTTGGAAATCAGTTTGCTCGTAAGTAGAGTCCCTTTCTGCTTTCAAATTAATATTTTTGTTTCAGAAATCAGTTTGCTCGTAAGTAGAATCCCTTTCTGCTTTCAAAATTAATTTTTTTTGTTCAGAAATCAGTTTGCTCGTCAGTAGAGTCCCTTTTCCCTTGAAATTTATAAGAATATTTTTAGAAATCAGTTTGCTCACCAGTAGAGTTCCTTTTTCCTTTTCAATTTATAAAAATGACGTAGAAAATCAATTTGCTCACCAGTAGAGTTCCTTTTTCATTTTGAAATTTATAAAAAATGACGTAGAAAATCAGTTTGCTCGTAAGTAGAGTCCCTTTCTGCTTTCAAATTAATATTTTTTTTAGAAATCAGTTTGCTCGTCAGTAGAGTCCCTTTTTCCTTTTCAATTTATAAAAATGACGTAGAAAATCAGTTTGCTCAGCAGTAGGGTTTATTTTTCTATTTGAAATTTATAAGAATAATTTCATAAATCAGTTTGCTCACCAGTAGAGTTCCTTTTTCATTTTGAAATTCATAAAAATGATCTCGAAAATCAGTTTGCTTTCAAATTATTTTTTTTTCAGTTTGCTCGTCAGTAGAGTCCTTTTTTTTTAAATTTATAAGAATAGTAGACATTTCTTTTTACTTATTTGTAATCATAAATTTATCATCCATATTCTAACATTGGCAGATGATAGTTTTCATTTGTTTTCAATGCAAACAATGACCTGTAGTTTTTTGCATTTTTTCTATTTATTTGTAAAATATTGCACATACATCCCAGTACTTTATAATCACATACATCCCAGTACTTTATAATCACATACATCCTAGAAAATTTCCTTAACAAACTTCAGAAAGATTTATCAAAATTCGAATAATCTTTCAGAATTAGTATACAGTGAGTGCTTGTAATTTAATATGAAGTTTATATATTAGCA